CGCCCTGGAGATCGAGCTGCAGGCCCAGCACAACCTGGTGTGTATTGCAAAATTGGGGAGGCAGAGTCACCTGTGGGCCACAAACTCTCCTTAGCCCTTGGAGCTGGTGACTCTGCAAGCCCATAGAGAAATCCCTTAAAGGGGGGCAGCTCTCTGACACCCCTTTATCTTCCCCACCACAGAGGAACTCTCTGGAAAACACGCTGACAGAGAGCGAGGCCCGCTACAGCTCCCAGCTGTCCCAGGTGCAGTGCATGATCACCAACGTGGAGTCCCAGCTGGCTGAGATCCGGGCTGACCTGGAGCGTCAGAACCAGGAGTACCAAGTGCTGCTGGACGTCCGGGCCCGGCTGGAGTGCGAGATCAACACGTACCGGGGCCTGCTGGACAGCCAGGACTGCAAGTGCGTATGGGAGAAGGTTTTCTGGGATGATGGGTATGGTGGGAGTGTCAGACACCGGGGGCACACACATGGTTGCCTAAACAATGTGCATTCATCGTCTTCTATGCAACCGATGTGCACAGGCAAAGGCCAAGGGAATGGCCCCTGCCACTGGGGGCTACTAATGCAGAGGTTGTGGCCGGGAGATTGCCTGTTAAAACAATATTTGTTACCTAAGGTAGATTGTGTTCAATTCCATGAGAGCTCAAGAGCATGAGATCGTATATTCAAAAGAACAATTTTCTGACCCTGCATATGGTATTTTGGGAAAGGGAGAAGGATTTGGTATCAATCAAAATTCCATTCTAATTCCAACCACTGAGAAATCATAGGTTGTCTCATTACGACCAAGGCAATATGTACAATTTAGGGTTCTCTCTCCTTCCCCATCCATTCTAAACCTCTGTGTCCCCCCAGCCTCCCCTGCAACCCATGTGCTACCACCAATGCGACTGGCAACTCCTGTGGACCCTGTGGCAGCTCTCAGAAGTGTTGCTCTTAATTGAACAACTTGCATCCCCTTTGAAGACGTCAGTGGAGCCATTTAAGTCGAGTACAGGAACCATCCCCAGGTCCTTTTGCCAGGGCTCAGTGGCCGTTGAGAAACCTCATCATGCCAACTGTGATTTCTAGACCAGGCCATGCTTTTCGCTCACGTCATCAGCTCCCAAGGTCTGGAAAACTCCTTGGTGTTGAGACTTGTTCAGCTCCCAGTAATCTGGGCTCCAGGTATTACTTAGGGTGATTCCTGTACGTTCTGCCTCTTCCTGCTTTCCTTCCTTCTCTGGAATGCAGGGAGGCTACTTCATTTAATTCCCAATAAATTTTATTTCTCCGGCATAGTAAAGGTGTTTCTCATTCATGTTTATGCATCGTAAAGTACACAAGTCATGACTGCTTCATAAAAACATCCGACATCAGGAGGAGGGAATGGGCTAAATGGCTGACCAGAGCTATTGTGTCCACTGATAGACAGGGAGGAATGTGCTCCTAGGGGACTCTCACCCAGGACAGGCCATGCAGAAAACCTGCCCTTCAATACCCACCCTTGTCTCGCCTTGGCCATCCTGAGAGTCCTCACCAAACTTCACCGCTGTCCCCCACTGATATCCTCATCAGACTGGAATTTTCTTGTTCCCTTTCTTCTAAATTGCTTCAAGACTATTGTCTGTAGAAAGTGCTCAAAAAACAAATGAAACCAACCACAAAACAAACAAACAACCCCCCCCCCCCAAAAAAACAGCAATATCCTCTCCTCTCACCTCTTTGTGACACAGATGTCACTGATACAGATACCTTGAAATTCATCTTCCTTGATTTCCATAAATTCACACATCCTTGGTCCTCTCCTTATATCTCTGGTTGCCTGGGCTCTATTTCCCCTTTTTTTGGTCCCAGATGGAGGGATCACTTGAACACTGTGATTCTTGGACCACCATTTTTCTCCTACATCCTTGTCACTGGAGGACTAGTACCTCTAAGCTGAAGATTCCCAAATCTACTCTCACCTCAACTTGGGTTCCAGGTTTTCAGTTGCTCAAAGGGGAGTCCATTCCATCTTTTTTCTTCCCTCCCTCCCTCCCTCCCTCCCTCCCTCCCTCCCTCCCT